TTGATGGACATTTATTTAACTGAATTGATAAGTTGTTTTGATGATGAATTTAGTGCTTTGCTTTTCAAAGCCTTTCCCAGCAGCTACACTAGCTATAGGTGTGGAGACAGGAAGCAGTAACCTCAAACCTCATTCCCTCACAACTCCTGCTTGACAACAGGCCAACATAAAGAGTGAGATTTGAGGTGCAATGGTACTTATCTGCTGCTTATGAGCAAGGTAACAGAGCTAAAAGATTTCCCACAGATAGCATGTGAATCCTCTGATATAACCAATGTCTAGAAGACTGAAAAGTGACTTGTGTTTCCATGAGAGGAGTAGCGGGGAGGTTGGTGATTAAAAAAAAAAAACCAGCCACCTGCCTTTTCACCTTTGTAAGTAGGTCAATTTCCACATTTAGTAAACAGGTCAATCCTCTGCCTAAGTGGAGAGGACCTCTAAGGTGTGTCTCCTGACATCAAAGAAGGAGGATATTAACAGGATATTTCCCATCAGTTTAGGTAGTGCACAGATTTCCAAGGAGGAAGCCTCAAATACACATCAGCTTCAAGTTCATGAGTTTATCTCATCTGCAGTCTGTATTAACCAGTGAGGTAAAGTGATAAGACATGTATCCTTATGCTCATTTTATAGATGAGGAGATGTCAAATGAGTTGCCCAACATTTCAGGACAAATAAGTGACCCCTGGGATTTGAGCTCAGGCCTCCATGATAGTTTCTAGTTTGTTGTTCTTTACCCTCTGCCTTGTTGCATCAAAATTTCAACATAATTTCAGTGATTGGTTCTAGACCCTATAAAATCTGGATTAGATGATGGAGTCTAAGAGGGAGTGAGAGAGAATACAATTGAGTAAGGGGTAAATGGCATGAAAAGAGAACTGGATCAAGATGAATTTCATTTTTCTCCACCATTTTAAGGCAGTCCCACCTGCAAAAAATAATAGAAAGGAAACGTTCTAAGCTAATGCCTTCTTTTACAACTGAAAACAAGTAAACAACTTTGTTGGACCAACTCACACAAATAACCAAAGAGGTAAGATGTAATGTATATAGACATCTAGGAATAATATTTTAAACCATGAATGAAAAGGAAAACATCTTTCTTCATTCAGTAAGACTGCATTGATTTCATACTTAAAGAAAGTACGTTTCAAACTTTTCGTACCTAATATTAAGTAGTTCTACGTTATCTGAGATTTTGCTTTCTACAGTTTTAGTTAACCACAGTTAACCACAATCCAAAAGCTCCAGAAATAAACAATTTGTAGTTTTAAATAATGTACCATATAAGTAGCACAAGGAGATTTCCTGTTTGTCTCAAACAGACTGATTCCTCCCTTTCTCCACAGGTCTATAGTGTATGTAGGCTAACTCTGACAGTCACATAGCTATTCTTAGGCCATCAGATCAACCACTGAGGTATTTTATTGTGTCCAAATAACCTTGGATATGCCAAGATAAAGCTAGAGTTATAGAGTTCTTCCTTTCAGTGGAAAGTGCAAAAATCTCAATAAGAAATGGAAAAAAAATATGTTGAGTGCTAAGACATGTGCTAAGAGTGGAACTTCCTCCCATGAAACTGTAAAGAAGGAAAAAGAAATTCTGGCTTGTTTTGTTGTTGCTCCTCAAACTGAGACCATTATAGCTATGGTGCATGATGCATGCTTAGTTCAGACAGAAAGGCATTGAGAGTTTGATGCGATCCAAAGTTTCAGGCATCCAAGGAGGGCCTTGAAATTCATTCCCCAAAAGGCAGGTGGACAACTATATACAAAACGTGTTGCTAACAATTTGAAAGCCTTCCTAAAGGTCATGGATGGATCACAGATAATACCTACAGACAATTCTGTTTTACGAAACACTTCTTACAAATTATTTCTGATGCACAAACAGTAGTGATACCATTGCAGCTCTTCTGTTCAGTTTGTCCAAGAATACAAAAGGGATATTGGTCACTTTCTACTTTTACTCTCCTTGGACAGAGTTTTACTTCAGGGCTTCTGTGAAATGCATTTGTTTATTATGTTTAAATGTATAGTATTCTACACAATGGAACTCAATGCTTCCATCAGAAAGAATGGCATTGCCCCATTTGTAAGGAAATGGAAAGACTTGGAAAAATCAAATTAAATGGAGTAAGCCAGACCCAGAGAAACGCAGGCTCCATGGTTTCCCTCATTTGTAATATTAGTATATGTCTAGGATAGTCCTGGCAAAGGATCATAATAGCTCAGTAGCTATATACATATAACCATGTAAAATGATGCTAATCGAAATGAACTCCAAGATATGGAAACAAGAGGGTTGTTTTTGTTTTGTTTTGTTTTTTAATGTACTGTGTAAAGCTATTCTCTCTCTTTCATTTTTTATTTCCTTTGGTTTAGCCTCTGTTGTCACTGTTTTTTATTTTGGTACCCTGTGTATTGTAAATGAACTTTACATCTTGAGGGGGAGGGGAGTCAGGGAAAAGAGAAAGTGGGAGACAACGAGGGAGGGAATAACAATGTTTGACAAAAAATATACTCATTACCTTACTTATGTAACTGTAACCCCTCTGTACATCACCCTCATAATAAAATCAAAATTAAGTTTAAAAAATGTATAGTACTGTATCTTTCCTTTTCTGTATCATAAGCACCATCGACAAATAAAATGATGAGTAGAAGCTGGTGAACCAGAATAAAGCAAGAAAGCAGCCCTCAAGACTGAAGTATGCCTTGAGAAGCTGGGGAAGCAATTAGGAGGATGTAACACCTGCTTAATGAGCAATTGATTTTCTTCCAGAACCTTTAAGAACTTTATTAGGCTCCATTTATGAACATCACAGTCAAGAGTTTCTTTTGCAGCTGAAAAACAAAATCAGGCTATAAGATCTAAGCTTATGTTATTTCCTTTAAAAAAAATCTGACTGAACAGAATTTCACATGTGCAGAAGGAATCAAAGAAATTGAAAGCTTACTATTTTCAACTGTGTTGTCCTATGAAGTTCGTGTGCCAATTGTAAGGGTGATACTGGTTTCCCTGGCACAGTACATCTCCCTCTGACCACAGAACTGCTTACATTTCTGTAATTCTCCTCTGAGTACATTTCCTGTTTTGGTCTAAGGTGCCTTTCAGAACATAGCCATCTGACCACTTATTCCTTTTCAGATGCTGTAACAGGCAGGCTTCCCCCAAAAGCTAATCCAGTGTTTGCTCTGGAACCTATAAGACAAAATGCTCTCTTGAGTGAAAAAACGGACTCAATGGTCTGTGGCTCTGGTAACTCTTGCTAGCTTGGCCTCCTCCAGATATCAGAAAGAATACAGACATTCCTCAAACTATAGCACCTTTCACTACCCTCTTTGAACTACTAAGACAATAAAGCTACTAATGTTCCATCAAATGTTCAATGCCCAGATTCCGAAATTCATGTGAAATGAAAACAAAACAAATCAAGTTACGGTTTCAACAACACTGTGGTCATCTCATCTCCTTTTCTGTTGCCTGGTATTCTATCTCCATGTTCATAAGGAATGATGATTTAAGAAAAATCTTTCAAAACATACCATCAAACAAGCATAACATACACATATCTATGTTGTCCCATTCAAGATTTCAATATAAAATATATGATACCTCAAATGGTTTATTCATAGACTGGCTTATTTACAAAAGATGGTTGACAAAGGTGTAGCGATAGCAGTACCTCAGCAGGACACTGGTGGCTAACGCTTGTCATCCTAGCTACCCAGGAGGCTGAGTGCAAAGCCAGCCCAGTCAGAAAAGCCCACAAGACTCTCTCCAATTAACTAGCAAAAAAGCATGCATGGTTTGAGTGGTAGAATGCCAGCTGTGATAAAAAATAATAATAATATGAGAGCAAGAGCACAAGGCCCTTAGTTCAAACCCCAGTACCAACATAAAATATAATAATAAATAGCAAAAATTCAGGGGGGAATGGATGACGACGTATGGCCTGTAGCATCAAGGTTATAACCACGTTTAGCTCTGAAGAGGTGAAAAGATAATGAAGTTGCCAGAACCAGACAAGTGTGTAGAGGAGACTGAAGCATGACTTCTGTTGAGAAAACCAGCCCAAACAGCTCTCTCCAAGATGGTGTATGTCACAACTATCAGCTAATCAAGTACATTTATCAGGGATGCCAACAGAACATACAAATTTTAAACAACATTTAAGGAAACTTTAATACGAACAAGGACAAATGATTACATGTCACAATAAGAATAGCAATAGAAGCCTGATAAATAACTTTATAAGCACAAGTTGCTTTGGGGCAGCAGTAATCTAAGCCACACTCTGATCCTAAGCTATATCTCTTATATAGACAGTCACGACAATGTAGAGGATACTTGTCCTTGTTCCTTTCAAATCTCATTGTGCTATGCAATATCAGAAAGTAACCCAGAAGTCAAAGAGTTCACTAGTAAAAAGTCTGAGTACTGAGACCTAAGACACTCATTTTTGATAAGGAAAAAATTATCAAAACGATCAATGAATACTATTTTTTTTTGTCAGTGGTGGGGCTGAACTCTGGGCCCGGGAGCTGTCCCTCAGGTCTTCAGTTCAAGGCTAGGGCTCTACCACTTGAGCAACAGCACCACTTCCGGCTTTTTCTGCTTATGTGGTGCTGAGGAATTGAACCCAGGGCCTCACGCATGCAAAGCAAACACTCTACCACTGAGCCACCTTCCCAGCCCCAATGAATACTTTTTTTGCAAAAAAAAAAAAAAATATATATATATATATATATATATATACACGTGTATATATATATGTATATATATATATACGTATATATATATATATATATATATGATACTTTTTCTTTGGAATTCTGACTTCTGCTATGACAGTCTTTCATTCATTCATTCACTCAACAAATAAATATTGGAATCGAATGTAGCGTTTCTTGGGAGATGTAAAGATGTAGAAGAAATCCTAAGAGGGCTCCCTCTTAGCTCGGTATACTACTGCAAAGCCATAGATAGTGCATGAGCTTTATAGAGGTAATTGACAGTCACCAGAAAAGGCCTTTGTTTCCAGATGGGATGAGTCTGGTAAGTTGAGAATGGTCCTGGGGATTGTTAGCACAGCAGTAAGGAAGGCATTGGATTAGAGCAAGGTCAGGGACAAAGAAGAGACCAATCAGGAAGCTGTTGTTATACCATCCATGTGAGCTCACAAGGCCTGAATGGCAGCAGACAAAGATGCGACAAGGCCTTGCTGTCTGCTATGCAGACTGCTAGTAAGAATGGAAACTGATGTGGATTCATGGGTTGGGTGAGGACAAGTGTGGACACACCATTGACTAAATGAGGTAAGAGAAGAAATATGTATGGGGAAAATAAAGCTGTTGGGTATAGTTTTGGATTTGTGACATTTAAAGAGTAGATAAAGCCTCCTAGAGGAAAGAAGTGAGAAATATAAGACTGAAGTTTAAGGAAGCTAGTCAGAGACAGAAATATACATTGAGGAGCCATCTATTAGAATAAAAGTTAATATTCAAACCATTAAAAAAAATCCACTGCCTGCACCATAATCCAAGAGATACTGCCACAAATTCAGAGTGTAAACACTTTAGAACAAAAGAAGCTCCTAAACATATAGCCACATAAATTTGGGTGCAGTATCACCCAGCCCCCCACTATTCACAGACCTACAATATTCCTTTGCTAGATGGACATCGATGAGAAAATATGGCAAATAAACTTAAATAAAAGTGGTACAACACCAAAAGCCACTGAACCACTCTTCAAAATCAAATTTTATCATCCTAAAAAATTGTCTGTAGTCCACAGTAGATAACCAGAGGTTCTATGGCTTTTAAAATAGGTGTATTACAGAAATACGGTAATAGATTAAAAGGAAAACTCATAGATATAAAGGGATCTCTTCTATTATTATACTGTTTTCTAAATATACAATTTAATCTAGTAGCCAATCTTAGGTACCTCATTCAAAATAACTCTGTTTTTAAAAAAAAGACAAAAATACATTTCTCATGTCTATACTTTTCTTCTAAGCACATTAGCATCTAAGATCCTGGTTATCCATCATCTCAAAGGATTTCAGATACCTGGCTTACAATTTCTTCTTTTGGTTCTAGCAAAATCTAAGAACATCCACAAAAGAATAGAGTAAATGAGCTGCCTCATGAGAACCAAGTTTACACACACACACACACACACACACACACACACACACACACACACACACACACACACACACACACGGCTGCCATTTCAAAATTCTACTAAAGTGTTTTTAAGCAAAACAAAAACAAACAAACAAACAAAAAACTAGGCCTGAGATGTCCTCTAGTCCAATCTCTTCATACATTAAAGAAACAGACCCCAAAAAGTAATGTCACAATGTGACAGATTATAAAACTTCTACTCCTAGTTCCCTACCTGGGGAAAGCCTTGGTTTAGCTTCAAGTTTGGGTAGGAAGCAGATGCAGTCTTCTCCATAACCTTTTTCCAAAAGACCACGGGGAGATGCTGAGATCAACATCCCTGACTGGAAACTGGAGCTTTGCTTTGAGGATGCTAAGCAGGGCTGGTTTGAACACTGTGATCTTGTCATCACAGTCACAAGCCTAGGCCAAGTCCAGCCATATCATGCATTATGTGTGAGTGATCAGGCAAGAATTTAAAGGACATCTGAGGTAAATCTTTGAATTCAAGCTATGTATGATCTCACTGGCCCGTGGCCATCAATTAAACACTAGGACCTATTCTGATAGAATTAAATACAAATAAACATAGATTTAACAAAGCAAGGTTTGTGGCTGCAATGCTTGGTAAGAAATGTACGCATTATCCTGCCCATGTAATTGTAACCCCTCTGTACAGTATGTTCACAAATAAAATTAAATTAAATTAAAAAAAAAAAGCAAGGTTTGTTTGTTTGATTGGTTGGGGTTTTTTTGTTTTTGTGTGCTTTTTGTTCTGTTTTTGTTTATTGGTGGTACTCGGGATTGAACTTGTGTGGCCTAGAAATCCTTCAGGCAAGAAATCCTTCAGCCATGCCCCTGGTCCAACACGTCTTTCCATTCTGTTAAACAAATCTCAAGCTTATCAACATGAAATGATTCATCTACCCAAGCTTTACCCAACATATCCCTCCTTTATCTTCTTGAGAAAATTGACCCATCCTTTTTTCCTCTTCCCTCTCCTCCATTCTCTTCTAACAGTCTTCTATTCCTCAAGCCCTGGGATGCTATACAAGTGCGCGCACGCTCATGCACACACAAACACACACACACACTTAACTAACAGTTGACTCCTCCCACATGCCAACCATTATTAAGTTTTCAGTTGTGAACATTTACTAACGTCTACAATACAAAGTGCCGTGGTAAACATTTGAGATGACAGAAGTTCCCAATTCACCTTATCTGTCCATTTTCTTTTCACTGACTCTGTTTTGAACCCCTCTACTTTTTCTTAATCCTTGAATCTTCTTTCCTCATGGTTATGCTTAAACAATGGTCCTACTAGCCTCCTAGTATTAATCTCTTTCTACCATTGAATGTTATTAGCCACTGTCTCTTGTTTAAATTCTTTCCCCCCTTGATTTTAGTGGCATTCCTTCATCTCCCTGTCTCTTAGCCCTCCTCCCTCTCAAGTCAATTCTTTACGTAGGTCGCTTGCTTACCATTTTCTTCAGCTGACTTCTAACAGAGAGTGAGCTCCAGATTCAGTTAAACTCTCTGCTTTTCCACAGTTATACCTTCTCCGTTTAACAATCATGTCTCATGTCAAAGACATGATTCCTAAAAATTTTCTTCTTACCAGTTCAACTTCTTCAAGATGTCTTGAAAGTAAGACTTAAACTTCTGTTATCAAGTTTTCAGTCTTTTGTTTATTCTAATTCTACCCTACCTCTATGCTTCACAGCCCCATACCTTCTCATTTGCCGTCTGCCCCCAAAACATACATCCATATTCCTGATTTCATTTCCTTGTTCATATTACTTCTTTCTCAGGCAACATAGTATCATTAAGAATCAACCTTATAACAAGACTATCTGCATGCTTACTAAGTGAACAGGGCTAAATGCTCCACCTGCTCAGGGTTTCTGTTTCCCTTTCTACGAAATAATATAACCATAGTAACGTCATAGGATTCAGAGAAAGATTAGATGATTTAATACAAGGAAATCCAGGTAGAACAATGTAGTTAGCAATTTTTATTAAGAATATGATCCTTTAATCATCTACAATTCATCTCCAGTTTGATTCCAGACTCTGATGAAGTTACCATCCTATGTTTATTTTATGAGCATTTATTTTATGCTTCCTCATTTTGATACTCATTTCTTTCCTTCTTCAACAAATGCCTGTTGAATATCTTCATGCTTCTAACATTTTGCCTCATATTGGGTTATAAGGATAAGACACGATCCTGCCTGGTCAAGGAGTTAATAGTTTAGTAGGAAAAACAGGCATGTTCAACTTAGAATAACAATCTTGAGAACTTTAAGGAGGAAAGAAATCCCTTAGGTTTTCATTTAGTGCCTCAAAGGAGACTTTCAGGTGAGAGGTATAGAACCCATTCCAGATCATAAGAACAATATTTGCAAAGCCATTAACGCACAAAATCTGTTTCGTGGTGTTTGATCTTGTTACATGGTTTTCTCAACTAAATTGAAATCAAAGAGAACTGACTCAACCTAAGAAATTCTTTTAGCACACAAGGAGATATTCTGGATACCAAAGATGGAACCAGGCCCAAAGCATCCAAAAATGTAACTCAGTAATACCATCTTTTTATTAGATTCTTCTAGGAACAACCAAAACACAAGTATTCTTTTCTATGAATTCAGAGAGGGTCTTAATTCTCTCTCATCTCTTTCATGTCTCTCTCATCAGCTCCTCTAGAGAAGCTGCAAATCCAGTGAGGTGATTTTTTTTTTGACAATCTGTCTTGTGTCAAGATCCCTAAGCAATGAAAAGCACAGCCTTCAACTTTCTCAGTAAATTAATTTCTCAACAAAGAATCTTCTTCATTATTCAAAAGAGGGACATGTCAATAATCCAGGTAGCTAACATAAATGAATGACTGATAAAGAACAGTTCCTGGAATAATCGGTACATGATCTGGCAGATTGTGAGTCAATGAGGAGATGTGGATGCGGTAGAAAGGGGCTCACATTTAGATCAGAACACCAAGTACACTGAGTGAGTAATTCTGAATGATGCCATCAGGAACCAGCTACCTTGCCAGTCAGAGTCCCCAAGATCATGAAGATGACAGTAATGACAACGTTGAGATAAAGGAGCAACTCTAGTTAAATAAAAAAAATTCTTCATCACCTGCAACTTCTCTTATACCAATGAAAACATAAATACACATAATCTGTATGATGACACATAGACTAAATCCAGATGTCTATGAAATTAGCACTATTATGGAAACCTCTTTTTCTGAGTCTCTTCCAAGCAGCTAGGTAGATTTTGATTCCATTCAATGTATTTCTCTGATAGTGTTCAGTCAACAAAATCAGAGTTTCAGGTAAAAAGTCACACACCCTCTTTGCCAATGCTTTTTGCTTGAGGTGTGAGGATTGATTCTCAGCAATCTTTCAGACCAAAAGCTCAGAGTGTGTTGGGTTTTTTGTTCTTTTGTTGTTTTTGTTTGTTGGTTGATTGGTGATAGTGGTGCTAATACCACACCATTGAGCAAAAAGAGTCCAAAAACAAATCACCATAAAGGAGATATGCAGTTGCTTTCACACAGTTTAGAAACCTAGTTTAGAAACTCCAGCCACCCAGAGATCATTTTCCCAAGTGCCTAACTAAACTCTCAACAGGAAAGTCCCATCCTCTGAATAAACTTCTTGAAGAAAAGAATAAACTGTAATTCTATTGCTATGAAAAGGGGTAGGGGGAGATGGTATACCTTGCAATGACATGCTAATAAAATAAGTGTGTTTTGCACTGCCCTATAAGTTTTTTGTTTTTTTTGTTTTTTTTTTTTGGGGGTCCGGTCGTGGGGCCTGAACTCTGGGCCTGGGCATTGTCCCTCAGCTCTTCAGCTCAAGGCTAGCGCTCTACCACTTGAGCCACAGCGCCACTTCCAGCTTTTTTCTTTTTGCTTATGTGGTGCTGAGGAATCAAACCCACGGCCTCATGCTTGCAAGGCAAGCGCTCTACCACTGAGCCACCTTCTCAGCCCCTGCCCTATAAGTTTTATACAAGAAAGTCTGAGATAAATTGTGCAACCTCGCCAATGATTATATGAGTTAACACACAGATGAAGAGCTATTGTTTGGGGAGACAATAAGCCACACACAGAACTTTCTTCTGGGATGTTGGTGGCACAAAAATTTTCATTTTGTCACCACACACTCTGCAGGAAGCTCTTGGAAGAAGACAGCCATACAAGATAAATGCATTTCTCCACTCTTGAGAATGAAAGACATAAAAAGGGGAAATCTATGTCTGAAGTTGGCGAGGCAGCAAGCTCCCTTCTCCACCTCTCACCAAGGTCCGAAGGTGAGCAACACCTCACAGTTACTATCAGTATTTCTAGTCTGTCTGTTTCAATGACTCATTTTATTGCCTGGCATTGATAAATCAGTATTAATTTTGCAGTCCTTGTATAAAAGTCTTTGCAAGATAGTTACCTTTTTTTTAAAAAAAAGTGGAAAAAGTAATGTATTATCTTAGGGAATGTAATAGAGTCCAAATCATTCTTAAGCTATGTTCATACTTTTTAAATACTCATCAAATTTACCCAAAATGACAAAAGACTTAGTGATTTTTTTGATTTTTTTTATTGTACTTAGTGAATTTTTTAAGTCAGAAAAATTGACTGTAGTATATTGGAAGTTGTGTAAATACAGCAATCTATTTATTAACTTGCATTTTCCAGTGTTCATCTTTTTATCTTACATTCCCAAGCTTAGCCCCTATGCGACACTTAACTGTAAGAGATAAAATACTTCTTTCTGTGCACAATTACCACAGAGGATATCACTTGCTGATGACAGAGCTAAAGATAAAGTTTTTAATTATTTTGCTTTGAAGATAGGACTTTTTATTAAACAACAATCATTTTGCTACCGTCTGCTCTTCTCTGGGAAAACAAAGCACTGGGGTTAATGCAGCAGTACTGAAATCAGTCATGCCCAAACTGGACGTTTTGACAGTTTACTTGCTAAGGTTTATAGGGGAAAAATAAAAAGAAATATTCTTGTGGAAAACTAAATGGAGTTCGTCCTGGTTTTTGTCCTCATATTATATGACCAGCTTGCTAAAAAAATAACCAATGTTCACTAAAAAAGCATGTGGCCAATGTTACATGTGTTATCTACCAACAAGCACAAGTAATTTCCATATCAGAGCCTTAATTTCCAAGATCAATTCATATTCTAAAGTCTAACAAAAATCTTTCTTGTGGATCTCAATCATGTAAGTATCCAAGTGTCATAGAAAACAGGTAACCTTTGCAAAGGAATTATCAAGGTTATACTCCCCTTACTCCTCTTAAATTGTATTTCTTTAAATTATCCATTAAGGTCTGGCTACAGCCTTACTCAATTTGTGAATAATCAGGCTAGGCATAATCTTCACCAAATAAGTATTTTCAGCTATGTTATGACTCAATAAGTTAAATTTATTAAATGAATGGAAATAAGAAACCATTCTTCATACACACACACACACACACACACACACACACACACACATACACACACGATCTCAACAGGCATAACAATAGTTTCTCATGATTCTTCAAAGAACAGTGACACAGAGACTTTTCTTATGTCTAATTTCTTCATGGAGGGTAAACAGAGAGAAAAACAAAAAGCACATGGGACGAAAGGCTTTGTACCACTTGGTTAGAAATGAATGGTACACTTTTATATATTGTAATTCTCTTACTTCTCATAAGCTTTCTTACTGGAAGAGGCATTTCAAAAGTACACCCTCTACCTCTACTCTTTCCTGCTTCATTAATGTACACTAAGCACCAGATCCTGAATGCTAGTAAGAAAGCAAGTTGGCATTTGAAAAGTAAATGTTTCTCAAAGTAGAAAACAAGTGTTCTACATGTGCGAACTCTCTGCTTTTTAAGCTATACCCTTCTTAATAAATGTTCTAAAGGAAAAAATACAAAGCTTCGAGTCTTACCAAGAGAAATCTTCAAAGGGGAGTGAACGAATTGATGACAGATGGCTGTCCACAAGGCACATCAGAAAAGCATTTGGTGTACAATTACCAATGTTAAATAGTGTTTAGTCAGGGTAAGGCTGTCTAATAAATTGAGACAGTTTATCCCTAAAAATAAATGTCAAAGACTCTTTAAACAGGTAACTAAAAACATTTTCAAAATAAATTTCAAAGATTCTTCTGGAATGATATTAGTAGTTCTAAATGCTTGGTTCCAGATAACATTTCACCAACTGTTGTCTTTCTTTATATCAACACCCTTTATAAATAAGACACATAATTCATGCTTACTACCATGTCAGACAACAAATCCTGTGTGTGTGCATGCAGGCTGGAAAATGATGTTTAAGAGCAATACCTATGGATAATGCCCTCCCTGCCCATTAAAATCAATGGGAAAAAATGAAAAAGAGTGGCTCAGAGATGTACCTCTCTCTTTCTATCCTTGTTTAAACAAGTCCATCTTTTAAGCCAAATCCTTTTTCTATACAGAACAAGTTGAATACACATATCACTCCAACTTACCAAAGTAACAGGCTTTTTCTGTTGAGAACTGATTTTCCAAAGACCATTTTAACTCTGGATAAATGTGAATATATAAAATTAAAAGTCACATCATATTTGGTCAGATAGCTTGCCAGTCAAGGGCACGGGCTCTTGAATCAGACAAACGTGATTTGAAATCGGCCACCAACAACTGGGACCTGTGTTTCCTTCAGGAACTTTCTTAACATTCCTAATTCATTCACTTCTGTCTCTTCATCTGCAGTGGAGTTTACAGTATTATCTCATTTCATCTAACTGTAACAACTATCATTTCATTTTTATTTTCACAATGACCTTGAGATGATGAGGATTGAAGGAAGCTTAAGTTTTAGAGAGAGGAAAGTAGCCTAAATCCATCTAGTTTCTTCAAAAAAAAACACATCCCACTGGCAAGCACCCAGTCAACTGAGTGTCTGAGAGGATTTCTCTAAGCTGAAGAGAAAGTTGAAATTCACCATATGTATTTGGGGAAACAGTAAAGCATCCAAAAAGTTCCTTGTGAGAATCAAGTGATACTCAAAGTAAGCGCTCTACAAGTATTAGACTTCTTGTCAGCCTTCCTGGGAACTTAGAGGATTTTAATATAAGTAAACAGATTTTAGCCAATAGGAGGAAGGAACTAATTTGTTAGTATTTGTGTTATACTAGTGTCTATGGTAACTCCAGGGTTCATTTTGACATTCATTCAATTCAGTAGACATTATACCAACACAGGTCTTGCTAGCCAATGATAGAGGGAATGAAGCATTTTCCATGGATTATTTCACTTTATCCTCACAATGACCTTGAGACAATATTTACCATCATTCCCATTTTTCAAGTAAGGAAAAACAGAAGTTTAACAAGTTTTAAAACCATTATAAGCTCAATTAGTTGAGAGTTATAAGAACCTAGACAATCCAAATTCAAAGCTTTCAGAGCTAACTGACTTATATTGTTAATTTTAAAATATATATATATATATATATATATATATGTTTAAATTTCTTAGAACATCATCCACTAGTAACTGAAGAAAATCTTATTTGCTTCCAAAGATGATTTGTTCAGATGCTATGCTGTAGTGTTGGCAACCAGTGAGTTTCTAAGTGCATAGGCTGTTCTATTAGATTAGAACCACATTTCAAATGTATTCAGTGCTCATCCATTATTTGAATTTAATTTTTTTTTAAATAAAGCAACCACACAAATTAAAATTTTAAGAGGAGAAAAGAAATCAAAATAGTTTACCTTTTACTTGAATTGAGGGGAAGAAGTTGAGACCCAGGAGCAGCAGCCTGAACATCATTGTCCTCCAGTAGGCCAGGGCTCCCCGGAGGAACCCAGGGTGAAATGTGCTGCAGGCACACCTGCCAAGGCCTCAGAAGCCTCCAACTTACTTCCCTTAGGGCACATGATCAAGGGACTTAAACCACAAGACATCATGACTTTCACACAGGATATTACATTGTTTTGATGACTTTAGACTTTTGTCTCTTCTTTTACCAGAAAGCCTTTTCTTGTCACTGGAAGAGAGTCAGTCACTACAGAATGGACTTGTGAGAGTTATTCTACATGGATGGGTTTCACTATGGAGAAAAACTTAAGAGTAGACAAACAAGTATTTGCAAAGAAAGATGGAAGTTTCTTTACAAAGAGAGATTTTCATAGTCCAGGAATAGGCTATGTAAAAAAAATACAAAAAGAATGATATTGAGGAATTGGGAGATTGTCTGATAAGTGTTAACAGGAGTTATAATGTGTAGGTGGATCATGAGCTAGCCCTGTGAGACATTTAACACATTTCACTGGTGAGCATCCAGACAGCTGAATGCCTGGAGGAATTTCCCCAGACAAAGAAAAGGTCAAAAACTTGAGTGGCAAGCCTATGGCTGGGTATCCATAGTAATAGAAAATTTGACCTTTGCAGATATTCTATAGATATAATACATTGGGTTAATTGAGCTTTCAGCAAGATAATTGATATGAAAATATATTGACTCATAATTATTGGTCGTCCTTCTTGCCTAGTAACAAAAATATTAGGTTATATACAACATTTTTTTAAAAAGCTGCTGGGTGCTGGTGGCTCACACCTGTAATCCTAGCTACTCAGGAGGCTGAGATTTAAGGATCACCATTTGAAGCCAGCTCTGAAAGCAAAGTCCATGAGACTCCACTTAACCACCAAAAACCAGAACTAGAACACTAGCCTTGAGCAAAAATGTTCAGGGACAGTGCCCAGGTTCTGAGTTCAAGCCCCACAACTGAGGAAGACAACAACAACAAAAAAGAAACACATCCAAGACCCTTAAAGAGACAGTATGGAAGCCCAAAGTCCCTTCATATCTTCTACTGTCTATGTCCCTCAAGAAATCATGCAAGGTGGAGGTGGAAGAGGTGGGGGGGAGGAGATAACAATGCTTGATAGGAAATGTACTCATTACCTTGCTCATGTAACTGTAACCCCTCTGTACAGTATTTTTACAATAAAAATGTATTACAAAAAAGAAATCACACAAGGTTATATAACAGGCCATAAAACAAAGGGATTCAACAGGTTTGTGTTTGTTTGCTTGTTTGTTCATTTGATTATTTCATTTTTGAGACAGGATCTTACTATATATATTTATGCTAGTCTTAAACTTATCATTCTGCATTCTAAGTTCTAAGATTCTGCATTCTAAGTTCTAAGATTACAAGTATGTGCCATTGTGCCAGCTCTACTTTTTTTGTGTGTGTGTATGTTTTTTATTGTAAAAATGCTGTACAGAGGGGTTACCGTTACATGAGCAAAGTAATGAGTATATTTCCTATTGAACATTGTTGCCTCCTTGTTTGTTTTCCTCCTATCATCCCTTCCACCCACCTCCACAACTACCCACCCCCCCCAAGTTCGTTTTCAACATAGTGTTTTGTACATCTCATTGTTACAATGGGTCAACCTGTATCCTTATTTAAGCATTTTGTTTTTTTCCTTCCCCTCCCCAAATTAGAGAAGTGTATATACAAGATGCAGGGTACTGACATCAAATACAGTGAAAACAGGGGTTATACCATGGGAGAGGAACATACAAAGAAACAAAAAATCACGTGGTACATTATAAATACGTTAGAAACAATAGCAAGAAAGAAAAAAGGTATTTGTGTTCTTATCTTGGGGTTCATTTTGCTTAACATCATTTTTTTTAAAGCCAGCTCTACTTTTATGTGATCAACATTTTTATATTCCATATAGGAGTGAGATCATATGGCACTTGTTTTTCTGTGCATGGCTTACTTTACTTAATGATCTCCAATTCTACCCATGTCATCATGAATGATAGGACTTTATTTTAATGACTGAATATTATTCCATGTATATATGTACCACATTTTCTTTCTCTATTCACCAGCTGATAAATAATCAGTAGTTTCCATGACACAGCTATTGTGAATGGTTCCACACTTGAACATGGAGAACAGATAAATCTTCAACATATTCATTTTGTGTTTTCCTTGGATATATACTCAGTGTTGAGCTTACTAAATCATATGGTGATTCCGTTTTTAATGGATTGAGGACCCTCCATACTACTTTTCATAATGGCTATACCACTACAATCCCCATGCCCACCAACAGTGTACACAAGTTCCTTTTCTCAAACCCTCACCAACTGCTGTTATCTTTTGTTTCTGACAATAGTCCTTCTTATTCTAACAATAGTCCTTCATATTGTAGTGAGGTGCTATCTCAGCATGGCTTTGGTTTGCTTTTCCCTGGCAATTTAATTAGTGGTGTTAAGCACTTTTCATATACTTGTTTCCTACTTGTGTCTTTTTTATATTTTTTTTTTTGTAAAGATACTGTCAGAGGGGCTACAGTTACATGAGTAAGGTAATGAGTATATTTCCTCTTGAGCATTGTTACCCTCTCCTTTGTTTTTTCCCCCAGCCCTCCCTTCCCTCCCCACCTCTCTAACTCCTCCCCCCACCAAGTTGTAGAGTTCATTTTTAACATAGTGTCTTGTACATAGTGTCATTGTTACAATGGATCAGCCTGTATCCTTATTTCAGCATTTTGTTATTCCCTTCCCCTCCCCAAATTAGAAAAAATGTATATACAAGATACAGGGCACCGGAATCAAATACAGAGAAGTATCTATTAAAGTATATTCCTCATGTTTAGTTGAGTTATTTGTTTTCTTTTCTTCATTGAGCTCTATGAGTTCCATGCATATTCTGGATATCCACAACTTGATAGATATATAGTCTCCCATTGTGTAGGTCTCTTCACCTTTATTATTTCCCTGGATGTGTAGCAGCTTTTAAGTTAGATGTACTAGCATTTATTTAGCTTTGGGGGTTTTTTTCCCCTATACTTCTGGAGTCTTCTCCAAAAGCTCTTTCCAATCCAATGTCTCAAAGCTTAAGCATTTTTGTAAACATCATTTCTCATTAACATACACTCTTTTATATTATCCTGAAGATCCTGGATGGCCTAACTGTAGGTGGAGGAAGTTTTCATTTCCCTCCCTCCTGATCTGATAGGTGAGAGATTAAAAGCCTTTCATCTTCGGTAGGCTTTTCTTGTCTACATTTCAATTTTCTCACAAGCAGTCTTTGTAACCTTCCCATACTGATACATCTTCAAACCTTTGAAACAAATGGTCCTTTGAAATGATTCAGTCACTCATCGAAACTGCTGGTAAGTTACAGAGTTGTGCTCTACTCTTGATGAATATCACTTTGAGATTTTTAACTAAGTTTTCCTGTTCTCACCTTCCATCCAGTTAGAAACTAGACAGTATGTCTTACTTAGGACCTGATGTCTTTCTAGGGACAATTTTTCTAAAATGAAAGAGTCACTAAATTATACCCTGATCTAGAGTGAGAGGCTCTAACACTCGTTTTACAGATTAAGAATGTGTATAGTAGAAACTAATGTCCCACAATTTCCTATGATTAATAACAGAAACATTAAAGAAGACTGGGCAGCATCTACTTGATATTATACATGTGGCAATGCTTAACTAAATCAAACTTGAAGCAAAAGAGTCAATTTTGTGTCTACCTCCTTTATTGTACTGAAACTGAAGCCCTATAAGTTATCTTTCTCAAATTCATAAAATAATACTTTTATCAGTTGACCAATCCTATTTTGGTTTCATTCTATGGAATAAAAAGAAGCACAAACAGACACTTGCTTTTCACTCTCTTTTAAAAATACTCTGTTACATGAAAGAAACAGATTATTGTATTAGTCATTTTAAATTTACTCTTGAAATTAAATGGCATTCAAACATGTTGTTAAGAGGTAGAAATGACAGAGGTAAAATAAGGGACCTTAAGCCCATCAAAGCACAGAGAAAACCCTCTACATTTCTAATACTGGTTTATGTCCTGATGTGTGTGTGTGTGTGTGTGTGTGTGTGTGTACCAATTTATGTACCAAAATTATAACATCTATTTCCCAATCACTTTATATTCTAGATACATTTAATATTTACAACTGGAGATGCTATTATCCCCATTTACAGATGAGAAAAGTGATCCTCAGGGTTAAGAAATCTTAAGGAGTAATGGAACCAAGATGAGAACTAGACACTTCTAGCTAAATGCAATGGTAGAACTGAAGTGCTACACTTCCGATCTACAGTCAACCCTCTCCAGTATTAAACACAAAAAGATGAGAATGTTTAATACCATTGTTACAAGACAGCTAATGCCTTTTTAGAGGTTAAGTGACAAGAATCACTGAGGGAAAGGGAGGGTGACCCAAAAGACACTGGAAGGCATAATTAAATTATACTTCATAAAAATGTGCCTGTATTTTTCTGGAATAATTCCACGTTCTTTAAGTCCATATGTGTTGTCGACACTCAAGAACATTCTATAGCATGGCTAAAAAAAACTACCTTAATCAAACAACAAAGTATACTGAAACCCAACCACATGGTTTGCTGGAGAAAAGATGATGTAGGTGACTAAATTCGATATGCTGCTTCAAATATAATGGGAACTATGTCTAGGAGCAGACCATGAGAGGTAAGAAGAAATTTCAGAGAATGCACTACCTATTTCTCTTTACCTAGGATGTTTCTCTCCAATCTGTTAAGTAAATCACACTTGTCCTTCCAAGTTCAGAGTAAATAAAACTTCCTCAGATGCCTTCTTTAGCCACCATCAGCCCCCCCCACACACACACATACATACATACACACACTTGCCACTTCACCTTCAATTGATCTAAACTTTGTCTCCCCACTGTAACTGCCTCCACACTTTTTACAATATGGTAGAATGCAATGAGGAAAGTGTATCTACAGATTTGTTCATGCAGTTATTTATTATGTGCCTCTTATCAAACCATAAACATGAACACAGAGTCCACATCTCTTTCAT